AATTAATTAGTTTCTTATTCAGTGATACCCACCGAAACCACAAATAAAAGTAAAAATAAACATTCAGGATAATTATGTCTATAACCATATAATAACAGCAACATGGTTAAGATCAGGCTATGCAGCCACTAAGTTTTTCTTTGTCTTTTGCATTCTACTTCCTTGCAATGATCAAAAAGATGTCTCTGGAAAAACAGCAAGTAAAAACTAAAAACCAAAGCCTTCTCCTATAGCAGAGGTCTCCAAACTTGGCAACTTTAAGACTTGTGGACTTCAACTCCCAGAATTCTCCAGCCAGCTCTGCCCCTGTCCTATAGCTATGCTCCAATTTTGGATACTCAGTAATTGCCTTGGATGCAAGTGAAAAGATGGATTACAGATCAAATAATTATCTTCTAGCTATGGAGATTCCACAGTCCTCATGGAGATACCGTCTTTCTTGTCTAATTTAAGTTTTAAAACTACATAATAGACACCAGCCCTTGTGGCAACGAATTCCATAGAGCGGTATTTCTCAACCTTGGCAGCTTGTGGAAGATGTATGGATTTCAACTCCCAGAATTCCACAGCCAGGATTATATGAGGATTTTTTTTAAAAATTGTTTTGTGGCCTTCCTGAAGATACCAACCAGAAATAGGCGGTCATTGCAATAACTAGTGTTTTTTTATCCTTTAATTCTCAGCAAGTTGTTGACAGTATCTCTTGAATTGAGAGGCTGTACCTCTGTATGCCCATTTGATCCTAATAATTATAAATAATTTAAAAAGCTCAGCATTGCCAGGAAAGAAAAAGAGGAGAGAAAAAAAATTCCCTTGATGACTCCAAACCTCTCCAGATATACTATTTGATTTATTCAGTTCACTAAGGTGCTTTTTTGCCAGAAAGGCAAATTTCTAAGAAGAGACTTTATAAATTTTTTTCTGACAAATTAATGTTTACAGTTCTAATACCAAAAATAATAGGAATATAAACTTTAGCCAATGGTTGTTCTTGCTGCTAAGGGAAAAACAGTAATTAAAGTTTCCTGTGCAGAGAACAGGAAAAGATTAATTAATCACAAGGTAGGCATGATATAGTGAACAGGAAGCAAGTGATTAAGCAATTTCAAAGAAAGGAATAAGGTAGATTAATGAAAGAGCAATTGCAGAGAGAAGGAGAATTTCCTGAACAGCTTTCGGGTTTGTTAGGATGAGATTTTGCCTATGCAGGTAGGAAATGCTGTTAAATTAAGTACTTTCTGTGACTACTCTTCTAGTTCTTCTAGCTGATTAATGGAAAAGCAATTCCTGAGTGATGCTGGAGGTCCATCTGAAAGCTTGGAAAGGCTGGCCAATTTATGCAAATGAAGGCCAAGAAACATAACTTTTAGAAGTGGAGTTTATTCTAGCATCTTAACAGACAAGTTCTGGTACATGCTTTGGTTAAAAAGAGAAGAAAAAATATGTTGACATAAATTACTTTTGACAAAGTGCGTTTTTAATGAAAGAAGAAGGCGGGGGGGGGGGGGAATATAAACCCTTCCAAAAAAATTTGGGATTTCATTTTGGAGCCCCATTCAGTAGATTTTGATAATTCTCTATCCTGCACATTCAGTGGATAGTGGATGGCATTATATTCATTTGTTTGTTTATAAACCCACTACTCTCCCTCCACCCCGTTTCTTGCAATCAAGACACTGTTCATTGTTTGGCTCCATTTACGAGCTGAAGACTTTTAATTTTCAAAAGCATGACCAAAAACATATTGGTGAGTCATTGATGAAAATATTGTGTACTGGAATAGGCAATGTGATGTCCTTGAGCATGAGCATCCCCACAGATGATGTTCTTGTTCAAGGCACCACCAGCCTTCACCCAAATATCAGTTTACACGAACACTTCTAGACCACATATTGGTATCTTTAGAAAATCAAAACTGACATTTGAGCAAGCGATGTTGATACTTTCTTGGTATTGTAACATTGCACACAAAAATGTAAGTGACAGAGTTGACATTATGATCCACGTTTCATCATCCTTTTTGTGGATGCCTATATTCCAGCCATCCCTACCTTCCACTTGGATTAATGCCCTTCAAAACTAGTAAGTAACACCATTTGCAAGCATGAGCACAAATGTGAGTCTGAATCAGAGGCCTCTTTCTGAAGCAAAATTGGCAACCTTTTGGCATATATAGGCTTTAGAGGGCAACAGTGGTGAATAGCTTGATGAAACCAGGATTTCCAGGCTATTTAAGACAAGTTGTTTCTGGTTTTACTAAGATAAGTTTAAACAAACCTTGAGCATCTTTTTGGTATTTTCTCTCCAAACATTCAGGAGGAATTCATGGTCCTGTATTTCAGTGTCATACTTTCTGGGGACTGTAATAAAAGAGGGCTTGAGACCCATATGGGTGTGTGTGTGTGTGTGTGTCATAGACTTAAAATGCGCTTCTCTGGCTGAAAAGATGTTAGGATGAATTAATCTTATGCTTCTTCCTAACATCAGCTTATGCTCTTAAGCATTGGATAGGAGTAGCATTACTTTGAATTTTTTTTAAAAAAAATCTGGATATCATTGCTTGCCTACTGTCATCTTCCTAGGATTTCTTTTTGATACTGGTAATGCTATTAATTGAAAAGTTTAATAGTGTTTTTTCCATTTTCTCTATATTGGTTCCACTCCCTCCCCCCACTGAAAAGTATTCTGGGAATACATGTCAAGGTTATTGCACAATAGAAAATCCCTAGAAGCATCTTGGATGGATGGGATTCCCAGGCTGGGCTTGTTATTGAAACCCAGGCCTCTTAAAGTCTTGGTATCGAGTTTAGAAACAGGTGTAACATCTGGAGTGCTTCTGATTAGTATTTTGTTATGCAAACCACTCACTTTTAAGTAACAAGGTGGATAGTCTAGTTAAGATGGCAATGAGTGCACCTTTGGGAGGCTTGAAAGAACAAGGCAGGGATACATTGTCATGGAGAAAATCTATGTGGTCACTAAAAGTCAAAAATGACACATAATTCACCAAATATTACAGGGGATCAGATGATATGTCTTCCAGTTGTAGCCTCCTTGCTTCTTTCTACTGTCATTGTCACGTTTTTTTTTTCTTATTATCAAAACGTTGTCCAGAAGGAATGATTCACAATTTCCCCCCCATTGGTGGTGATAGGAACAACCTGTCTTTCTGCACTCCCAAAATGCCCTTACACTGCAATTCTGTACTCTTTTCTTGGGTATTAAATTCCCTTGAATTTATTGTTCTGGGTAGATATATACAAGATGCCATTTGTAATAAATAATATGAACATTCAAATCTTTGCAACTACCAAACCCTTTCTTACATTAAAGGAAAGTTATCAGTTCTTGCTATATATATATAATACAGAAGTTATACAAAGTGTGTGATCTTACAATTTTGAGAATCTCCATAAACTTTATTTACTAACTTGAAAAACCTCCTACACTCTTCGTATTTTCTCCCAGAAATGAGTTGAAGAGATGCTTACAGGTCACTACTACAGCATCCACCAACGTGAGAGTCCAATGTAACCCATTAGAAATAATTAGGTACTGAGGGGAGGATTTTCCTAAAGTTTAGTGATATTGATTCTTCACATTTGCAGCTATCTGCCCTAAATATATTGTTAGAATAATCCTGATATTACTTTTGTCTATATGGGAATGGTTTCTTATACTGGAGATGATTGACAAGCAGAGAGTATTCCTGTTGTGCAAATGACCAATTCATTAGTTAGACTCATAATGACCATTTAAGTGTAACTTATGTCTTCTGTTACTTTCATATTTCAAACCAGAGTGGAAGAGAGCATAATATTTTGACAATTAACTAAAAGAAAAGGCCCATCAAATATGTTGTCTCAAATTCAGATTTGATAACTTATGGCATATGGCTTCCTCAGTTGGTAAACAGGTTGACATTTTGCTGATGTTCAACCAATGTAGTCAATGCTCGGATCCATTGACACATAGATGATGTTTAGTTCAATCTTCCATGCATTTATTTAGAAGTAACTTCTACTTTATTCAGCTAACTTTGTAAGAAGAGAGGTGTGTGAGTCTATGTTAGCCAAAAACCGGAAGAGATCTGGCGGCACCTTTTCCAACTAACCAATTTTATTAAAAGGTACAAGTATTTGTGATCATCTCATTTCATCAGATCATTATGATAGAGTGAGATGCAGCGACTGGAAGCTTATGCCTTTTAACATAATTAATTAGTTGGCAAAGATGCTACCAGACTCCTTCTGATCTATTCAGTTGAGATTCCCAAGCAAATGTTCATTAAAAAATTTCTTTCATGAATGAATTCAGAGCAAGCACTGCCATTTTGCCATCAGTAAAGGTGCTGAAGGTCACACTCTTTGCACTTTACTGGGTGATATGGAATTATTGTGAGAATCTTTCCCAACAGTCCAGGTTCATGTTTTTCAGTGAGCACATACACACATAAGGAAAAAGAGCATTGCTTTGGGCTTGGCTCCAAAAGATTCCCCAGACAGAACTAGGCTGAGAAATAGCTGATGGGCCCTTAGGAAGAAATACAATTTTGATTAACCTAAAAGGACTGAGTGGAAAAATCCAAGCACAAGTTGACCCTTTGGCCATCAGCCCAAGCTATGTTTGCAAAAATACAGAATTGTTATCACAAGCTGCCTTTTCCCCACAATTGTATGCCAAGCACATATTGATGAAAGCAGAAGGAAATAATATGTGTTCTCTCCAGAGGGTAGAAAAAGGGACCATTTGTTCATGTCCTTTTTAACAATGTTTCTGTGCTTCAGGTTTAAAGTATAAGAAATATACCAGATATCTTCCTTGATGAAGACCAGTTTAGCTTTCTTCTTGAAGTTTTATCAATCTTACTTGCCAGAGAAACCATGGAACCCTTTCTCTGCAAGGGATAATATCAATCTGCTCCAGTAATCGAACACATTTAGAAAAAAAAAGGCATTACCTCTTCCTCAATTTTCCTCAATGTTGCACTTTCCCATAACCTAGTCTGTCCCCTTTTCTTACCATCCTTTCCATAAATCAAACAGTATGACACACATGCAAAATGAGAGGTGACATGTCTGAAAGCATCAGGAGTTTACATTGAGCCTATTAGTCACAGACAGCAACTCCATGGGATCATAGACCACAGGTTTCTCTGGAGACAAAGGAAGGGAAGGGAACTGCTATCAATCAGGCTTAAACACATACTGGTTACTGAGACAGATTCTTCCACACCCAGTTCCCACTGTTACTCAAAGTGGGACAAGATGGGTCATTTCGACTGATGTTGCCATACAACTTCGACTTCTTCTTTAACATAAATCCAAAAACAATGACATTTCATCTGAAATGGTTATTGGCTGAGGATCATAGTCAAAACATTTAGGTTTAAGGAAAACCAGAATTCATACCCCTCCCTAGCCCCTTCTGTTCCCAGAGTCTCATGCAAAAGGTATCAGAACCAAAAGATGCTGGGCAACCATCATGTCGCTTGGATCAGCTCCCACTGTTGACCCAGAATATCCGACTGACAGATGTTGGTCACTAATCTGCTGGACTCATTTTCTAAGCAAAGGCCACTGACAAAATGTTGGATGAAGCTACCTTTCATCTTCCATTTCTGCAAGGGGGAAAGAAGAAAAGAAAAACAAGAGCATATGAAACGTGTCCTCCTCTTCTTTCCTTTCTTTCCTGTTTTTTTCTCTTTGTCCCCAAATACCTCTTTACAGCAATAATTTAGCAAAATTTTTCAATTTCTTCATTAACACAGATTACCATTTTATAGTTTGATTAGGTCTTTTTCTAATCTCAGGTCTTTGGCTGATCTTCATAAACTAAGCCAGTCAGAATTGGTTAGTGTTTGGATGTCAGACTACCAGGAAAGTCCAATTGGGAATTTGAAATGTTTTTTAAAAAACCACTTATATTTAAGATCCCAAGAAGCAAGGTTCTGACCAGTTCTGGAGAACCGGTAGCGGAAATTTTGAGTAGTTCAGAATACCACCTCTGACTGGCCCTGCCTCCATCTCTTCTCTGCCTCCCGAGTCCCAGCTGATCGGCTGGATCTTCTTTTGTTGCCCTGCACAGGATAACAGAGCTGGAAAGCAGATTAGTTGGTGTGGGGGAAGAGAGAATGGGGATTTTACAGTATCCTTCCCCCAGGAGTGGGGAGGGAATGGGGATTTTACAGTATCTTTCCCTGCCACATCCACCAAGCAGGATATTAACGAAATATATGAACCAGGAATAAATAGCAACAACAGCAGAAAAGAATGATGTGGTCTCAGCTGCTGTAGATGGGGTAGAGTGTGTGCAGACCTTTCCAAAATTTGGAAATAACACAATTTATATATATAATTTTATATATACAGGTAATCCTAGACTTACAACCACAATTGAGACCAACATTTATGTTGTTAAGTGAGACATTTGTTGTGGGTTTTGCCCCATTTACGACCTTTCTTGCCCCAGTTAAGTGATTCACTGAAGTTGTTAAGCTAGTGACCTAGTTGTTAAGTGAATCTGGCTTTCCCATTGACTGTGCTTGTCAGAAGGTCGCAAAAGGGGATCACATGAACCCAGGACACTGCAACCATCATAAATATGAACCAGTTGCCAAGTGGTTGAATTTTGATCACATGACCTCAGGGACACTACAAGGGTTGTGTGAAAAACAGATATAAGCCACTTTTTTCAATGCTGTTGTAACTTTGAACAGTCACTAAACGAACTGTTGCAAATTGAGGACTGCCTTAGATTATTTATTATAAATAACATTATAAATATATGTACAATTTATATGTATACATTATACCCCTCATCTATTTTCTTGCAGCTGTAATTGTGAATTAAGTTTACTCTAATAGCTTTCATGTATGCAGTATATTTTATATTATGGTATGTAAGAAAAATGCACATTGCCAGCTTTGTGTAAACTACCCAGAGTTTGTTGGGCTATATAGCCATACACTATCTCCCCAGTCTTAAACCAAAGTGGTCCCTTGCCAGTTCTACACTACACTCCAATTACTACAGCATCACTCAAGAGCAAAATGAATAGCAATGGCAACACCAAAAGCAATAGCACTTAGACTTATATACTGCTTCATAGTGCTTTACAGCCCTCTCTAGCAGTTTACAGAGTCAGCATATTGCCTCCAATAATCTGAGTCCCCATTTTACCATCCTCGGAAGAATGGAAGACTGAGTCAACCTTGAGCCAGTCAGGATCAAATTCCTGGTAGTGAGGCAGTGAATTTTTAGCCTGCAATACTGAATTCTAACCACTGCACCACCATGGCTCTGAATTCAGAATACAGTATTTCTAAATAAAGGTCAGTATAAAGATCACAATATGTACATGTTAATTTTCCCAGAGGTGGGCAACCTAAAATTTTGAAATGTAAATAATTATAATCAATAATCTAAATAATTCCACAGCAAACGGAACAGAGATTGTCCAGGTGAGATTTAACATACAAATTCAAGCCAGCTACGCCAGGGGGGAAAAGACTTCTTGGAGAAGCACTCTCAACATTACAAAAGAGTTTTGTTTTCAGCAGAGAGATGATATAAACAAACCTTGCAAATGGATTAAGAAGACAAACTTTTCAACATCGTCTGCAATATTTTTGTATCGGCACAGGAACATTCTCTTAATAGTTAATTAGAGGTCGTTCCTTTCCTTTAGGAAAATTGGAGACCAGAGATTCTGTTTGTTGGTTTAAGAAAGATCGCTTGGAGACCATGGAGTTATCAGGTAGTCCTTGATTTACAGCCACAATTGGACCAGAACATATCAACTGAGTTGTGCCTGATTTTACAACTATTTGTGCTATTGTCATTAAACAAAGCACCATGGTCATTGAGGGAATACCCCTTTAATTTTGCTTGTTGGACGCTAGCTGGGAAGGTCACAAATGGTAATCACATGGCACCAAGATACTACAACTATCATAAATACATGCTGATTGTCAAGTACCCAAATTTTGATCCCATGACCATGGAAACACTGCAACAGTAGTAAGTGTGAGGATCAATTGTAGGTCACTTTTTTTCAGTAGCTTCAAACAGTTGCTAAATGAATGGTTATAATTTGAGAATTGCCTGTAATTTGAATTCTAATTCAATTAAGACTAGAGCTACTTTGATCACTGAACATAAGACAATTCCTCAAAGTCTTTCTGCAGGTCTCTCTTTCCATAGTTTTTTGTTTTGTTTTGTTTTATCTTTCTGAAGTGGTTGGGACTCAGAACTCAGCATTCAGATGCTCCTAGTCTCTCTTGTAAACTGGCCCTCTAAGCTAATGTTAAGGCATTCTGGCCAGTTGTACTTATAACATCTGTATTATTATTATTATTATTATTATTATTATTATTATTATTATTATTATTATTATTATTATTGATAATTCAAAGATAACTCCTCATGATTTTAATCTGATTTTAGGAAGGCAATAATATTCTGAACCAGCTTCTGACATTGGGAGTTCTACTTGTGGTAGAAGTAGCCAGAGGCTAAATACCTTTGAGAGCCTTTCAAATTTTACACATTTTTTTTTCATGTGACAGGCAAGGAGTAATCCTTTCCTTCTACACATCAAGGAAAACTTGGTCTTATCAGAGACAATTGATCATGAAAGTTTTCTGGATTAGGGGACCACTAATCTGTAACCACTTTCAGATGCAATTGTTGCTGTTAATTGGTTTTTTTTGGTAGTGGCCCATAATAGCAGGTTACTCAGCAAACATTTTCTCTTGCTAATGAATGATACTATATAAAAGAATCCCTCCATTGATTGCAGACCTTGAAATACAGCAGCTGTTTTAATAATCATTCAGTTCAGTGAAATCATAAAATAAGTTAGGGAAAAAGAATGAGAACCAAGGGTGGAGATTACATGCAGGGGGCTACATTTCCACAACCCTTGTATTTTGTAATTAGTTAACTACAAACAGTGGGTTTGATTTCATTAATTTCTACCATATCCTATCCTGCTGTTCCATTTTTCAAGATACCACCCAGGGAGCGGTAATGTAACACAGCTATGTTTGAAATTTTGCATCCGATAGCTTTGTTCAGGGTTGGCTCTAGACATTTTGATGCCCCAGGCAAAGTCATGTTCTGATCCCCCCTATAGTTTGGCTCATCTTCTGATTTTGTAGGACTTTCAAAAATGCACCCTCTTGTTTCTTTCTTTTCTTGGAGTCTTTGAGCTTGATACTTATGATTTTCAGCCCTGAATAATTTTTCCCTTTTTTAAAAACATTTTCATTCTATTTACTGTGAAAGAATGGAATGGAATGGAATGGAATGGAATGGAATAGAATAGAATAGAATAGAATAGAATAGAATAGAATAGTTGGAAGGGACCTTGGAGGTCTTCTAGTCCAACTCCCTGATCAGGCAGAAAACTCTATACCATTTCAGACAAATTGTTGTCCAATCTCTTAAAAACTTCCAGTGTTGGAGCATTCACAGCTTCTGGAGGCAAGTTGTTCCATTGATTAATTGTTCTAACTGTCAGGAAATTTCTCCTTAGTTCTAAGTTGCTTCTCTCCTTGATTAGTTTCCATCCATTGCTTCTTGTCCTGCCTTCAGATGCTCTGGAGAATAGCTTGACTCTCTCTTTGCAGCCCCTCAAATACTAGAAGACTGCTATCATGTCACTCCTTAGTCCTTCTCTTTGTTAGACTAGTCCAGGGATGTCATACTCGTGTCATTACGGCAGTGTCACATGATGTATCAGGACCTTTTCCCCCTTCGCTAAATCAGGCGGGGGTGGGGCCAACACATGATGCATCCAGTCCGTGGGCTGTGAGTTTGACACCCCTGGACTAGTCTTACCTAGTTCCTGCAATCATTCATTGTGTACTTTAGCCTCCATTCTCCTAATCATCTTTGTAGAGCTTCTCTGCACTCTTTCTAAAGTCTCAACATCTTTTGTTTACATTGTAATCACAATATTTGTGGTAGTTACCCAAAATTTACCCTCCTGAATATAGGAGGCTTCTCCCAATCTTCCAGAGAAAGAATAAGAAAAATAAATCGTATTAGAAGCACACTCAAAATTTCCATCTTATCAAGCAGAGCTGTAATCAATTCTGGAGAATTCCCTACCTCCCTGTAAATGTGATTAATTGGATGTGCATGTCCACATGCTGATCAGAAACCATATTCAGAAAATGACAGGAATAAAAGAAGCAATAATATTAATAGAGTTGGTAACTACTGATTAAATTAATTGCCTGTAAAATAAGGCATCCAATTTATAAACCCAATCAATCCTTTATCTGCATACACACACACACGTATCCTCTTTTCAGCAGAAATAGCAGGCGAGGGGGAAACAGATCAGAGATGGGATATTTGAGGAAGGGAATCACTCAGCACAGCAAAGGAAAGAAAAGTGGAGAAAACAAAACTGAATGGAGATGAACAGGAGGTCGAGGAATTATCCAGGGAAGATGGATAGATGCTTTTTAGAGGGAGGGCATCTGCTCTGAGACAAAAAAAAGAAGATGTTTCTTTGCTTTTGACTTCCTGAGCACTGAGATCTCTTGAAAAACAGTTTGGAGTTCAGCAACAATGCAGATTCCTTCCATGGACTTCACACTTTCT